AAAATAAAGGTAGAGAGATAGAAAATGAAGAAAAGATAGAAAATATTAGATAGAGAGACACTGAAGAAAGTGATAGATTATGACAATAATGTGTGCTTTAATATTTTTGATTTTTTTTTTGCCACAAAACTAACAAATGTTTCAATATTTACAAAATTAACATTGAGATTCTTTGGAAAATAATGGCCACTTTTCTTTTACCACTTTTTAGTCTCATATTGCAATATAATATATACTCTATATTCCTCTCGTCTATACATATGTGATTATTATAAGATTAATCATTGTTTCATAGAATTCTTATATTTGTTTCTTTTAAAGATAATAAATTGCATATTTAGTGGCTCTGGACTCAAATTGAGTTATGCTTCATTTTCTTGCATGGTCAGCATACAACTTGGTCAAAATTTTTCTTGGATTGTATTAATCAAGAATTGAATGACTTAGAAGTTCCCAAAATTTTTGTTTTCCGAAATACTGGAAATGGACACATACATCTCAAAGATGAAGAGGAACATTTATACCACAATTACAAATAATCACTTGAAGAACTTAATGGAAGGAAATCCTCACAAAACCATTTCAGAAATGATAGAAAAATAAAGATTTCAACTTGAACAGTTTCAGATCATTTATTTTAAAATAAATTCAAAAAGAAAAAAAAAACAGACTTTGCAAAGACAGAACATTGAAAGAATTGCCATTTTTACATAATTCTTTTTAAAAGAAAAATGATTAAATTCTTGATTGAAACGAAAATTCAATCCGATGCAATGAGCGGGATTTAAAACCAATATTATTAGGTTGGTGCAAAAATAATGACGTAATAATGTCGTTTTTTGATGTATTTTTTAAGGTCAAAAAACGACATTATTACGTCATTATTTTTGCACCAACCTAATAGATGAACAAATATTTATGATTACCATTGTGACCCAGGATAGGTGAGGTTCACAACCAATCTCTCTGATATCTCAACTAATGTTTAGTTCCAAGAATTCAAAAGACATGCACAGAACATTTTAAAAGATAAGGCAAGCATTGGTTAATCAAAGTGTCCATTTATAAATACCTGATAATGCTCAATCATACTAGGGTCAGCTGAAATCTTCATAGACTGATCAAGATATAAATGTAAATAGACAAACAAGTCCAAGAATAGCCCAGCCCCGGCAACCGTCAGTTGTGCTGGCATTGGTATTAGTACCAATCCGCCCTCTTTAACTGGGAAGCTCTCAATAATATTCTAAGATGCACTCTGTCCAAAGACAGAGACACAACTGAGAGATGAAATGTAGTTTATCTACCCGGGGACAGATACTACACTTTGATCCTAGGCAAAACGCAAGGTGATCGTAATAAAAGCGCCATTTTTCAAATATACAGTATCGAGCAACTGAAACCAAAAATCCAATTCCCATAAATAAAATAAAATCATCTGCTGGATTATTTTTAAATTATTGTTAAGAGAAATGTTCATAAGACACGGATTTGGCTAGTATGTAAATAAATTTGATGGTCATTAATACTTCCATTTTTGAAATTATTTTCCAAACAGTCTCATAATTGCAAAGTGGGATTTGAGCTTCTTCATGAAATTTTGCTTCTGGTGAACATTTTTGAGTGTTTGATTTTTATTTCTTGTGCTTTCTACTGGTAAATGTTTTATATGCATATTTTATGCTTGTAAGAAAAAAGAAAATTAACTTTTAAAAATTAATGATGAATAAGATGCAGAAAAATTTAGTTCAATAATTCTTTAAAATTTGTCATCTGCTAGATCAGCTAAAGATTAAACTCATTAAATAATAAGGCATTAGGGTTTTTGCACCATGTCATAACAACTCAATAAATATTAACAATTGTGATCAGGCCATACTTTGGCCTGCTACTGGTAACATGCAACCCAGTATAACCTGCTACATGGATGGGTGATTGGCATCTAAACAAAATTCCCCACTAGATTTTCTGCTGATGAGGAAGGAGGCATGTCACTCCACAGGTCGAAAAAGACCTGTTAAAGGGCAGATGAACTTATTATAAAAGCCAACGACCAACATTATATATATATATATATATATATATATATATATATATATATATATATATATATGTATGTATGTATGTATGTATGTATGTATATATAGATAGATAGATAGATTGGGGTTATGCCTTTTTGTAACACTATATTCATGTGTCAAAAATTGATGAACTTTTGATCAAAAGTAATGAAAAAGGCATTAATTTGTTTTAGTTTTTAATTCATTAATTTGTTTTAGTTTTTAATTCATTGATTTCTTTTAGTTTTTGAAAAAGGTCACCACCAAACTGAAAATTTGGCAATAATTGTAAAAAAAAAAAAATATTTCATAAGCATTATTTTTCAATTTACTAATGATGTGATTGGATAGTACTTATATATTTTTGAATGCATTTATAGCTATAGCATAATGTACAACCTTACAAATAAAGAAAGAGTTCTAGAAGGCTTCAGGAAATTCTAGAAGGTTCTAGAAAGTTCTAGAATGATCCAGAAAGTCATAGTACTACTAATATACGATTTTAGAAATTTCATTTTGGAGGTGTCATTTTTTTTTTAAATAAACTGAATTAAACCCTTCTTCATTATTTTTTAACAAAAGTTCATTGAATTATAATACAGGAAATCAATTATTTTACTAAAAGTCATAACCCTATTATATATATATATATATAATGGACTCTCCCGTCGGTTTCGACATATGAGGATCTGCCAGCTTATTGATTCAGTTATGAAAGTTTATGCGCTAATCTCAAGTGGCATTTAAGACCCGCTAGTGATTTACAAAGGAGGTCGCATATGGAGCAAGTGCAAGGATTGTGAGATGAGATCACTGTTAGATTGGTTGACCTTTTAGATCTTGCTCTCGCTTCTTGAAGATGATTCAGACAAGCAGATTATATATATAAGGTTAGGATGGAGATCCAAGCCTTGAATAGTAGCCTACCTAGAGATGGTGTTTCAATAAAAAAAAAATAAAAAAAACTCTGCTAAGCATGAGCTTCTGAGTTGTCCATCAGGAAGAACATCTGGCCTTGCCTCAAATCATTATGACAAATATTTTATTAGCTAGGACCCAATTTGCTTTTTGGGAAATAAATCCTGCCTCAGCAAAAACACTTGGCTCTATATATATGTAAATGATTGACCTAAACAAATTCTGAAGGCTTAAATCCTCTAAATACTACCATTTTAAACTAAAACATTGGTTTTATTGTTAAAAACACAATCAATTTGCTTAGGACTGAAATGGTATACAATGAGTGGTCTATAGATTGTATAGCTTCAGAATGAAGAGTGAAATGTTGTCAAGTTTTGTGTTAAAAGAAGTTGTCTCTTCATGATCCTAATTTAAAAATGGTAAATTTTTACTCACCAAAACTCTTATCTAAGTTTGAAAATATTAGGTGAGTTACATTTTTCAACACTAAAAGCCTTAATTTAATTTGAAAACATGAAGTGGCATAAGTTTTTTAAACTGAAATCCATGATTTAAAATGTAATTATGAGACGGATTAAGTTTTTTTACATCAAAAATTTTGATATAGTTGAAAATATGAGGTGAATTGAAGTTTTAAGCATCAAAATCTTTATACATAATTTAAATTAGCAGCATTTTGATTATTGTAAATTTCAACATGCATTTATATCAATCAATTGTTGTAATATTTACTGAGGGTGGCACAAGGCAATGCTAAAGAGCAAAACCACTAAATGATGCCATTTTCAATTCTAAGCAATCACTTTATGTCAATAAAACAGGGGGGTAAACTGTTTTTTTACCTATTTTTTCAGCCTGTATAGAAAATATGGTGGTATTTAATAAAATAATTAATAAATAATTGTCTGATTTTTTTATACCATATCTTCCTTTTTATTTTTTTTTTTGATTTTTTTTTTTTTTTTCTTTTTTTCTTTTTTATATTTTCTTTTTTTTTCTTTGCTGTTTCTTTTTATATTTTCTTTTTTATTTTTTCTTTGCTGTTTCTTTTTTTTATATTTTTTTTTTTTTGCTGTTTCTTTTTTATATTTTATTTTTATTTTTTTCTTTGCTGTTTTCTTTTTTTTTTTTTTTTTTTTTTTGCTGTTTCTTTTTTATATCTTCCTTTTTTATTTTTTTTTTTTGCTTTTTTTTATTTTTCTTTGCTGTTTCTTTTTTAAATTTTCTTTTTTTATTTTTCTTTGCTGTTTTTTTTTTATTTTCTTTTTTTTTTCTTTGCTGTTTCTTTTTTTTATATTTTATTTTTTATTTTTCTTTGCTGTTTCTTTTTTTTATATTTTCCTTTTTTTATTTTTCTTTGCTGTTTCTTTTTTTATATCTTCCTTTTTTATTTTTTTTTGCTGTTTCTTTTTTATTTTTCTTTGCTGTTTCTTTTTTTTTTTTTTTTTATTTTTTCTTTGCTGTTTCTTTTTTTTTTTTTTTTTTATTTTTTCTTTGCTGTTTTCTTTTTTTTTTATATTTTCTTTTTTATTTTTTCTTTGCTGTTTCTTTTTTTTATTTTCCTTTTTTTTTTTCTTTGCTGTTTCTTTTTTTATTTTATTTTTTATTTTTCTTTGCTGTTTCTTTTTTTTATATTTTCCTTTTTTATTTTTCTTTGCTGTTTCTTTTTTTATATCTTCCTTTTTTATTTTTTTTTTGCTGTTTCTTTTTTATTTTTCTTTGCTGTTTCTTTTTTATATTTTCTTTTTTTATTTTTCTTTGCTGTTTCTTTTTTATATTTTCCTTTTTTTATTTTTCTTTGCTGTTTCTTTTTTTATATTTTTTTTTTTTTTTTCTTTGCTGTTTCTTTTTTTTATATTTTCTTTTTTTCTTTGCTATTTCTTTTTTTATATTTTCTTTTTTATTTTTCTTTGCTATTTCTTTTTTTAATTTCTATTTTTTAAATTCTATTTTCAGATTGAAAGTCTAATAAAGTATATCAAGGAAGCATTCAAAGCATATATTTTGCGAAAGTTTTGGATGGACAAACATACAAAAGCTGCAGCAGCAGCAAAGGTAAAAGCAAATTTTATTGAAAACGGAATTACGCAACCAGATGTATGTGACACGTATTATTAGTAAAAATCAATTAGTGTCATAATGAGACAACGATTAATAAAAATCAATCTTGTCTGAGAAGGATTATTCAGAACTTGGAAAAAAAAGATAGCAAAATAGAATTTATTACAAAATGGGAGAAAATACCAATTGATATTTAAACAATATTTGCCAAACTTTTTTTTTCAGTAACTCATAGCAGGCTATGTGTTTGTATGCATTGTGAGATGAATACATGTATCTCCTGAAATAGGGCCCACAACAAATATAGCAGGCTCGGAATGAGTCCAACCCAAAGAAATGTAAAAGAAAATGTGAAGAAAACAACAAAGCGATATATATATATATATATATATATATATATATATATATATATATATATATATATATATATACAAACATGTACCTGTGTATTAACAAACAATAAGGGTTAACAAAGATGGTAAAGTGTGTTGAATGAACATAGAAAGTTTATGGTCAATGTATGCCTAAGTGAATTCTCATACATACGTGCATGTGTGTGTGTTTGTGTATGTTTCATGTCATTTTCTGAAGGAAACGTATAGTGCCCACCACAAAGGTTAAAACACAATCTTCATAAGAAGAGATTACATTGTGGTAATGTCCGCTGAAACATGAAAAGTGAAAAGAGAAGACAAGACAAGTATATAATGTTGGGAGAGCATTTGGACAATTAAGAAATTCAGGGGGAGTTAACTCCGACAAACTTTTCATTCATTTTCTGTTTACCATTCTATTTCTTTTTTTTCTTCCACAGCTTGATTCTATGATAGAAAAAGTCAGCTACCCTTCGTTCATGCTCAACACGACCTACTTGAATAATTATTACAAGCAGGTAAATATCTTTCATTTTGTTTGTTTCTTGTGTGTTTAACATTTATAAGAAAATAGTCTGACCTGAGTATGGAAATGTTTGAAATGTGGCAGTAGAATGCAGCAAATATACACACATTCACATAAATGCTTTTTTTTTGCTGATGAAAAAAGAAAAGAATAGATATGCCTGCCTATCATCCAGTTCATACCCCTCTCCGGTTTTTTGAACAGGAGTAGAGGTTTATCCCTTGTTCTCTGTTTAGGATTAGGTTTCCACTTCCTTCTAAAGTTTACTCCAATTTTATAATTCTTACATATCTTCTAGAACTCTGAAATTTTATTCACTAATTATTTTTTCTCTCACCCACCAAAAGGAGTAGATAGGGTCACCTATCGTCCAGTTCATGCTCCTCACTGGTTTTTGAACAGGAGTAGGGGTTTCCTGTTTAGTATTGGGTTTCTGGTTCCTTCATCTCTGTTCTTCTGACATCTTTGCCTGAACTCTGAAATTTTATTCTGTAATTATTATTTTTTTCCTCGCCCAAAAGCCTGCCTATCATCCAGTTCACACTCCTCTCCTGTTTTTTGATTAGAAGCAGAAGTTTTTCTCTTGTTCCTTTTTTAAGATTGGGTTTCCAGGTTCTTCTAAAGTATAAACCAACACTATACTTTTAATATCTCCGTTAATGTTATTCACTAATAAAATCTTGATCTCTTCAAGTCTACAGTTGGCCATTATCTTTCCCACATAGTCCCAAGAACTTCAATTCTTGCCCTTTTTTACACTAATATAACTCCACACGGTAATCATCTACCTTAAGAATACATAGAACAGTGAATAAAGGTGTTGGCTAGATCCAGTGACAGGACCCAAAGAGTTATGAATTCATTACCTGGTTAAAGGCAGTGGAGAACTTGGAGAGGTGAATTAACAGGAGATAACTGACATCCATTAGACATGGCACGTGGAACGAGATAGTTGGAATGTTGAACTGAACCCTTTATTTCACTCACTGTGGTAGACTGTTCTAGTTCCATGTGCCATGTCTAATGGATGTCAGTTATCAATTACCTCCTGTTAATTCACCTCCCAAGTTCTTCACTGCCTTAACCAGGTATTGAACTCACAACTCTTTGGGTCCTGTCACTGGATCTAACCAATGCCTTTATCCACTGTGCTATGTTTCCTTAAGGAAATAAAGGGTTCAGTTCAAAATTCCAACCACCTGAAGAAGGCCAGAGCGTACAATGGCCGAAATGTTGTGATAAATATGATGACAAAGATGAGGACAATAGTCCGAATAATGTAAATAGTGTACATAATACCTCATCTCAGAAATATAGATAGATACTTAACAACAGAATGTAGATCATTTTTTAAATCAGATGTCAATTTGACCTTATCAAGCTGCTTAGATTTACTCTTAAGACGGGAATAAATGGTTGTGTCATCAACATAGATGCCAAGTTGCTTGTGAATTTGGTAGTATGGTATTGATAATTTTATCTTCATACCACAGAATGTCAAATAGGTAGGAATGACAAGATAAGAAGATTATTTTGTAGCAATCTTCCAAGTGAGAAAAGCCTCCCTATCTACAAAAACATCATTTGAATTTTTTTTTTTTTATCAACCTCTGTCACTGGTAAAAAAAAAAATAATATCTTCTTTCAAATTCTGCATATAAGCAAATAGATAACTATTCTTTTGAGATACTCATAAGAAATAGTTTTATATCATTTACTTGTAAAAGACTCAAAGAAAATTTCCTTATATGACTTCACAGACAGACATTTCTAAAGATTCTTCTTTTTTTTTTAGTCTCCAATGAGACCAGCCAGACACTTCTTTTATATACTGTGTCCCTTCAGGATATAGTCGATCATTCACTAATCTTTCTTTTCTTTTCATACTACTAGTGTCTGGTAGTAATAAAAGATAGGAAGTTGTGGAGAGATATGATTGACCACATCCTGAAGGGAAATACCACACAAAAGAAAAAATGTTTGGTGGTTCTTATTCAAGATAAAAAAAAATATATTTTCTAAGAGACACTCTCTGAAATTAAATTAACATTAGAATAAGCATCATTTAACACAAGTCATGACCTTATGAGGAGGTGCAGAAAATCTCTCAGACTGACCCACTTCCTAAAATCTATCTGTTGTATCCTTAAAGAAGGTTGCAAACAAACAAAGGTGGTACTCGAGTGAAAGGAACAGCAACACGGGCATAGATGAAAGAAAGAGAGGTTTATTGTAAAAGAGAATACACTACTGAAGGACAGGGAATCGGTTAGCAAGCTAGTAATTTCTGAAGCAAGAATATTTACCTTAAACACGTGGCAGGATGTGGCACAATCTTTCATGTGGGGTCAAAACCGAGCCCATAGGCTCAGGCAAAAACTCCTCATAGACCCCGTATACATGGGGTCGGGTAGCTGTCTATCACTCCAGATGAGACTCTGCCCTTTTGCATAGCCCCATCTGGATCCTTCTCTGCCCGAAGGCACAGAGTTCGACCAACACAGCTGGAGACGAATCTCCAACTAATTGCCAAAGCAAGTCACCAGGTATATCCTGTGCTCACTATATATATCTACTGATATAGACAGTCCACATAGGCGATAGGGAGTGTGGGATATACTATTACAACACTGAATTCCTTCTTTTGTTGTTAATCCATTCTTGGTTGGGCTGAGAACTTTTCAGCACCTCCTCATATGACGTTTGAAACGTTGTCTATCATTTTCTTTCACTTCTATTTCCTTTTTCTGTTTCAGCTTGATGTCGTTGAAGGAAACTGGTTTACAAATTTGATACGGTGGAAACAATTTGATTTGGACAGAATGATTGGGCAATTAACCGAGAAACCTGATCGACGAAGGTACGAATGGTTTGATTAACACTTTTCAATGCATTTGTCTCTCTCTCTCTCTCTCTCTCTCTCTCTCTCTCTCTCTCTCTCTCTCTTGGCCATTTCCTGATCTATCAAATGATTTCATTATCTATTCTAATTGCATCAGATTATCTTCCTGTTTCTCTTAAGTCATTTACCTTAACAGGTAAATGGCTTAATTAATCTACCTCAGTTTGTCACCAGTTATTTGTCCCATTTTATCCATCAGTTCATTCACATTGATCAATATTAATCAGTTCATTGCTTCATTATCAATGCAAGAAGAAAAGAACACAAAATCCATAAAACTAAAAATAGAACTGTCAACAGAAAAAATATAATAAGTTTTGAATTCTAATGATTTACTCTTTATGCACTGATCTTGAAAAACATGTAACTATTCCAGACACTAAAATTATAACCACTAGGTTGAAAACAAAGATTTGGTTAGGAAAAAGCATGGAAGCATCAACACATTGGAAGTTGAGACATATAAAATAAACTGCCTGCACTGCCATAAGAAATATATAGGTGAGACATGTAGAAATCTAAAGACCCATGTTTATGAACACATAAGAGACAACCATTGGGATAATCCATTAAATTCCTTATTATCATGTAGAAATAAAACGGGATATAAATTTCATTTAAAGTAATGATATCTTAGTATAAAAAAAAAAAAAAAAATGAACACAAGCCATTATGAAGAAAATCCCTAGAAGGAATATTACTAAATAACATTATGATCATAAGTCCCATAACCCATTAGGGTCATAGAGGTACCACATAGTGTTTTCTGGTCAAAATAGCCCAACCCTTTTCAGGCTGGTTTGAATTAAGTGTTTTCCTTAGACTGATTGCCAACCAAGGCTACAGGACTCAGTCTTAGTATTTATCTATAGCTGGGTAGAGGGAGAAGGTCCCCAAACAACCTTCCTCAGGTTTTGAATTCAGAGGTGTCCTTCTCCCCAACCAGTTGCCACCCAAGGCTATTGGATCCAGTCTGTCTTGTTATTTACCCATAGCTGAGGGGAGATGATAAGATTTCCCAAGGGTATTAGCACATAAGCCTGAATTTGAATTCAGCTCTCCTATTTCTCAATCTGAGCCGCTGTCCATGTTTCCAATAAATACTTTTTCATGTCACCAGTATTTGTAAAACAGCAATTAAGAAGTGGTTCCACGCTTCTCAAAATTTCCAATCTCCCAATTCACAGACCTTGTTGCCAGATGTAGTTTATCATCATACCCAGGGATATTCCTACATGGGACTTCTCAGTCAATGATGCTTTAAATGTTTTCTTTTTCTTTTATTCCCATTTTCCGCAGTCATTGAACAAGGACGACCGAGAGAGAAAACTCCCAATTATTTAATTATTTTTCTGACACAAAATCGTTTTTTCTTTATTTTCCACAGGTGGATTTCCCCGCCCGTAACAGTGAGTCCCTTCTACTCACCAATTAGGAATGAACTTTTCTTTCCGATGGCACTTTTTCATTTACCATTTTTTTCAGAAGAAGGACCTCAGTAAGTACCAATTTATTTATCTCAGGATTAAAAATATCCTGTTTATATATGAAATAAAGTAACTGAAATACAGTAAAGCTAAAAGTGTCAGAGAGATTGCTATAAGATAATGAAATAAAATAATAAAATAAGACAATAAAATAAGACAAAAGATAATAAGATAAGACAATATATGATAAGATAATAAGATATAATAATAAGATATAATATACAATATATAATAATCCATAAATGTATGTAATATATAATATATATAATATATATAATATGTATAATAATATAATAATCATATAGTATATATAATAATATAATATAATAATATATATAATATATAATAATATAGTATATAATATAATAATATATAAAATAATAAATATAATAAAATATGATATAATAATATAATATAAAATAATTATAAAAAATAATAAATATAATATAAAATATAATAAAATATAATGTAATATAATATATAATAATATAATATAAAATAATATAAAAATAATAAATATAATATTAAAATATTGTAAAATATAATATAAAATTTAAGATAATATAAAATAAAATAATATAATAATAAGATATAATATAATATAAAATAATATTAAAAAATAAATATAATATAAAAATATAATAAAATATAATATAATAATATAATAATAATATATAATGATATAAAATAATATAAAAAATAATAAATATAATATAAAATATAATAAAATATAATATAATAATAATATAATTATGATAATAATATATATATATAATAATATAATATAATAATATATATAATATATAATAATATAGTATATAATATAATAATAAGATATAATATAATAATATAAAAATAATAAATATAATAAAATATGATATAATAATATAATAATAATATAAAATAATTATAAAAATAATGAATATAATATAAAAGATAATAAATATAATATAATAATATAATAATAATATATAATAATATAATATACAATAATATAAAAATAATAAATATAATATTAAAATATCGTAAAATATAATATAAAAATAATATAAAATAAAATAATATAATAAGATATAATATAATATAATATAAAATAATATTAAAAAATAAATATAATATAAAATATATTAAAATATAATATAATAATATAATAATAATATATAATGATATTAAATAATATAAAAAATACTAAAATAATATAAAAAATATAATAAAATATAATAATAATATAATAATAATATATAATATAATATAAAATAATATAAAAATAATAAATATGATATTAAAATATCATAAAATATAATATAAAATACAAAATAATATAAAATAATATAATAATAATAATATAATATTAATAATAAGATATAAGAATATCTTATAAGATAAGAAAAGATAAAATAAGACAATGAAATAGAGTAACTGCAATACAGTAAAGCTAAAAGTGTCTGAGAGATTGCAGAAAGATATTGAATTCATTTAAATTAATTAGTTAACAATTTAAAGACCTTTTACAAAAGCATAAATAATATTTAAATCCTTCAAGATGTAGGCAGTTCTGGCTCTCCACAGTTTCTTTGTTGCTTAATATAGGGTGTTCCAATAACTTAGACCAATTTTAAATGTGAATTAAGTTTAAGCATCTAATGATTATTTTTATTTTTCTTTCAGATTTAACAACTTAAGTCTTTGGCAATTTCAACCATAGAAAGATTAACAATCAAACAATGTGCTAAAATTATTGAAGCCTATTACAAAAATGAATGTTCGTGATTTCTTTGGTCAACATAATCAACCAACTGAGAGTGCAATTGGAAAAATTGTTCATAAATTCAAACAAACTGGGTCAGTGGCAGATGTGTGAAAAAAATACTGCATTCTCATTTACGCCATTCAACTGAATACATTGCTGCAGTGCAAAAGAATGTGGCCTAAAATTCAAACACCTCTATTCGTCATCGTGCACAGGAATTGAACCTCTCCGCAACAATGTTACATCGAATTTTGACAAAAGATTTGTTTCTACACACTTACAAAATTCAACTGACACAAGAACTGAAATCTGTTGACCATTTGGAGCGCCATACATTCATCAATTGGATGCATGAGCAAAGACAAGCCGATGAAGATTTTTCACCCATTTTCATCTTGCTAGATTCATTAATAAGCAGAATTGTCGCATTTTGGGCTGATGAAAATCCAAGAAAGATTATTGAAAAGCCAGTGCATCCAAAAAAGGTCACTGTTTGGTGTGCATTTTTTGCTAGCGGAATCATTGGGCCGTATATTTATAAATTTGAATGACCATAATAGGCTTTGATAACTTTAACACGCTGTTTGATTGTTAATCTTTCCATCGTTGAAATTGCCAAAAAAAGTTGTTAAATCTGAAAGAAAAAGGAAAAAAGTCATTAGACGCTTAGACTTAATTCACATTTAAAATTCGTCAAAGTTATTGAAACACCCTATATTTGCAAACTGCATACTGCTATGATTGTTCTTAAAAAAGACAGTGGAGTGGGTTTTTATTTTTTTCTCCTAGCCCATTTTACCCTGCTTCTTCTTCATGTGACATGTCCCCTCAGAATGTAGCTGATCATGACTCTCCACAATTTCCTGTTCTTTGTAGCCTTTAATTAATTTTATCCTTTTGTTATCTCTTCTAAACCCTGTTAAGCTTACTATGTTCCTTTGTCTCTGATTCCTTCAATCTGTCCTATGAGTGTCAGATTTTCAAAGCCCTCTTTCTTCATTATGCATCCTAGAAATTTCAGCTCTCTTATTCTGATGTTAATTATAAATCTATAGCTAATACAAGAGATTTATGCTTTTTCTGAGAACATTTGCACAAAGTGAATGAAAATTTATTCATCTTGTATTTGAACTCAGCTAAATATTTTTTTTTTTTCCTTTCTTTGAAGGGCACTGAATTTTGGAGCCATTGGATCCGTCATAGGTCATGAAATAACTCACGCATTTGGTATCAGAGGTAGGTCATCACCCCCAAAACAATCACATACAAGCAAACGACCAAAGGAGAATTATACAGCCATTAAGCCTTTCTTTTTCCAATTTAGGTAGACATTCTTAAATTAATAAATGAAGGAGAAATGAAATTGAATTTATTTAAATTAAGTCAAATTTGTCACCAGATAACAGATAAACTTTGTCAAAAGAAAATTATGCAAACCATTAAAGTGTATATAAATGTTTTTGGTTTGGTTTGGTTTGTTTGGTTTGATTTATTTTACAGCATATCAACCTGAATGGGTTACTTAATGCTGACAAGATTTTTATTGCTGGTAATATTTGCAAAAATGTATTGCTGGTAATAATTTTTTTCTTCAAAAATTCATTGATGGTAATAATTTTTTACAAAAATATATTTCTGGTATTAAAACCTATTTTTACACTGCCATAGTGTTTTGACCCCATTTTATAGACCATTTTTATAGATTAGCATTTATTCGACCTTCTTTATAGATTAGCAAGCTTTAGTCCTTCTTTATAGATTAGCATTTATTAGACATTCTTAGACCTTTTTATAGATTAGCATTCATTAGACATTAGGCATTTTGCAGATTAGCATTCATTAGACCTTCTTAGACCTTTTTTATAGATTCATTAGACCTTTTTATAACATTAATTTGTCAACAAAATATTTGAGGCACAACTTAAATCGACTAGTTCTCTTGTAAAAAAATAGGGAAATTTATTTTTTTGAATGGGGAATAGATTTTATAGATTAGCATACATTAGACATTCTTAGACTTTTTTATAGGTTGGCATTCATTAGACCTTGTTAGACCTTTTTTATAGATTAGCATTCATTAAACCTTTTTATAGTTTAACATTCATTAAACCTTCTTAGATCTTTTCATAGATTAACATTTATTAGACCTTGTTAAACTTTTTTATAGATTAGCATTCATTAAACCTTTTTATAGTTTAGCATTCATTAAACCTTCTTAGATCTTTTCATAGATTAACATTTATTAGACCTTGTTAAACTTTTTTATAGATTAGCATTCATTAAACCTTTTTATAGTTTAGCATTCATTAAACCTTCTTAGATCTTTTCATAGATTAACATTTATTAGACCTTGTTAAACTTTTTTTATAGATTAGCATTCATTAAACCTTTTTATAGTTTAGCATTCATTAAACCTTCTTAGATCTTTTCATAGATTAACATTTATTAGACCTTGTTAAACTTTTTTATAGATTAGCATTCATTAAACCTTCTTACACCTTCTTTACAGATTACCATTCATTAGACATTCTTAGATCTTTTTATAGTTTAGCATTCATTAGACCTTTTTATAGTTTAGCATTCATTAGACTATCTTAGATCTTTTCATAGATTAACATTCATTAGACCTTATCAAACCTTTTTATAGATTAGCATTCTTTAAACCTTCTTAGACCTTTTATAGATTAGCATTTATTAGAGCTTTAAGAAGCTTTAATGAATGCTAATATATTTTATAGATTAACATTCATTAGACCTTAGATTTATTGCAGATTAGCATTCATTAGACCTTCTTAGACCTTTTTTATAGATTCATTAAACCTTCTTAGACTTTTTTGCAGATTAGCATTCATTTGATTTTCTATTCTCAACTGAATAAAAAAATAATGATTTTGTCAGAATCAAGAGTTACTGGACTTAGGTATTATTTATAGATATCAAGTTTGAATCTGTGATTACATTATTTACACTACTTATATTTGGACTATTGTCCTCATCTTTGTTGTTTTATCACAAGCTTAGTAGATTACAATATTAGTGAATTTAGTAACATTGTGAGTTCAATCCCTTGGTCAGGTAGTGTGTACTTGGACTCAATGGAAATGGAGTGAGCAATAACTGAGCAATACTAAAAATAAGAACTAGATTTGTTATCCCCCCTAGACATGAGCAGTAGAATGAGAACAGTCTATCCCCATAGATTGAATAAAGAGTTCAGTTCAGAATTCTGTGTAGGTCACGCAGATTTATATATACCTAATGAAGGCCAGAGAGTACAACAACCAAAACGTTTTGAAAGCAACAAAGATGAGAACAATAGTCGGAATATAAATCATGTAAATAATGATAATTCCTCATTCCAGAAATTCAGGCAAAAATTATGCTTATATAAGAACAGCTACCATGAAAGTATTTATAGAGAAAGCACACTGAAGCTATGTTACAGCAGTGGGAATGGAACTGAAGCTGGGATGCCAGCTCAGGACCCATAACATTGCAGACTCTTTAGATTTTATCAAGAATCTCTAATTACATAGCAGGAACACCAGACCAGATGTAGCAGCAATATTCCAAGCAAGGCTTATAAATATGTAAGATAGATTTTAAGAATCTTACATATTTTCTTAGTGCTATGAGTGATATCTAATCCGAAAGTCACAGAATTTAAGAACTGGTCTAATATCATCCTAACTCCAAGTAATTGTCGCATTATGATTACATAAGAATTTTTTTGAGATAATAATGGTTTAGTGATACAAGTCTTATTAATTAACCCATAGCTGGGGGGAAAGACATGGATTCATACTTTTCTGAAGGTTAGTTGCATGTAAGTGAATATAACAAACTCAACAGGAATTGGAACTCAACTCACCAATTAACAATTCCAAGCCATTATTTATTACACCACCCACACTTCCAAACTTATATCACCTGGTATTCCCACGAGATCACCATTTTTTTGTTTTAAGAATAAATTTTATAAACCAAAATTTATTACTCAACCTAATAGATTTTTTTTTTCCTTTCTCACACTGATTCCATTGCATTTTTCACCTTCAGGTATGCATTATGATGGAAAGGGCCAGCTAAGAAATTGGTGGGACCCAGAAACTGCAAAGAAATTTAACATCACTACACAATGTGTCAGAAGGACATACAGCTCATACAAAGTGGAAAATTTAAACGTAAGTCGCATTTTGTTGAAGACCATCTCCACATAGTTTCCGCTCACAAGCAGACATTATTTTTGGAACATTTCTAAGTGATATGTCTTGTCTGAAAGTCTCAGAATCGTTTGATATTTTGGGAACTCTTTTTTTTCTTTTTTTTTTTAACCATTTCACCCCAAATAAGGCAATAAAGCCACTAGGACACAAGAGAATATGAAATAAACTACTATCAAGAAGAGAGGACAATAAAAGAACAAGAATTAAGAAGACAGAAGATACTGATTAACATTACATTTAAATTTTTAAAGATCAAAGTTGGCTGGAACGCAAGAAGCCAGAAGAGAGTTCCACAAGTGAAAAGTGAAAAAAAAAGAAACTGCTAGCATCATGTACAGTTACATCTAGTCATTTTAACTGTAAAATGATGAGACCTAACTGACAATCTAGTACTACACTTAAATTCATAAAGTCTAGCTACCATAGAGGAAAGTTCATCAGAACAATTACCATGAAAGCATTTATAGAAAAGGCACAGGGAGGCTATATTACAATGGTGGGAAAGTAAATGAAAGAATATAACAAAAAGGAAAACATTATTAAAAGAACAATAAATGAACAGGTATTATGAAGACAGAAAATAATGATTGACACTACATTTAAATTTTTGAAGATCAAAGTTAGCTGGGAAGCAAGAGGCCAAAAGAGAGTTTAATATGTGAGATGATAGAAGAAACTGTTAGCATAGAACATGGTTATATCTAGACATTTCAACGGTAAAATGATGAGACCTAACTGCCAATCTAGTACTGCACTTAAATTCATAAAGTCTAGTTATCATAACAGAAAGTTCATCAGAATAATTAGCATGAAAGTATTTATAGAAAGACAGGAAAACTATGTTACAGCAATGGGAAAGGAACTGAAGCAAAGATGCCAAGTCAGAGCCAATAACATTGCAGATTCTTCTTGGGATTTTATCAAGAATCTCTAAATATATAACAAGAGCACCAGACTAGATGTGGCAGCAATATTCAAACCAAGGGCAAATATATATAAGTTGAAATGAAGCTTTAAATTATAATTAGATTAAAGTTTATTCCTAGATTTTGACCTTTCAATTAAAACAAAATAAATAATAAAATATATGTATTTTTTACCCAATTTCTTCTTTAAATAATTTTATAATATTTTAAACTTAATACAGATTATATTTAAAATTTAGAATTGCTAATTTTTAATTTTCAATTTTATAGTAAAATTAGTTAGAATGATTTCTATTTTAGTCTAACCTTTGTATTTTGATTGGTCATGACAGCTTTTGTGACAGTGTTTCCCCTATCGAGGGGGTGTTTGCTGGATTTGAACCTTTTAAAACTCTTTATTCTACATTCTACACCATCACTTGATAAGAAACCAGAAGTGTTGAAACAAAATGGCTATTTCTGTAGTGATTTTATAACATATTTATGTTATAATTTTCAAATAAATTATATTTGCTCTACTCTGTATTGAGCACTCTTTTAAGAACAGTATTTTTTGTTTAATGGAATTTATTCTGTATACACCAATCCTACACTTGCATATATATATTGCAACTGAGAGATCTGTTTTTTTTTAAGATATGATAATTTGCCTTGATGAGTTATTCCCCTTTTTCCAGGTGGATGGTGACATGACACTAGACGAAAACATTGCCGATAATGGAGGTCTTCGGGCTGCATATGTGGTGAGTTGAAAATGAATTTTTTTTCATACATTGAAATGTAAAAGAAAGAATTGTTTTTGTTTACTTAAATCTTACCGAAACCACTGAGAATAGTTTTCCTGGATGTATATTAAATAATCAAGTATTATAAGTTCATATTGTGTTCACCAATTTGGTAACAGGGTTACCAATTTGCTACATGTTGTTAACTATTTGATGTTTAATATTTTTCTTGTAAATTCTTAAGAACAAAAAAAAAATGTATAAATTCATTTTCATTATATGTTTAGGTTTTATTAAAATTCTAATTATCATTTTTTAAAACAATAAATTATTGCCAAGGAGTGAAGTTAGTTCAAATAATAGTGGTGTCAAGGGAAAAGAAACATCCTTTTGTTTTGACACATGAATTTGTTTTACAGGCATACATTATTTCCTCTTATTTTTCCCTGACTGCACTTTCCTTTTTTTTTTACCACTTTATTAGCAAATGTGCTTCCATTTGCTATACCCCAGCTACCTTTGAAGAAATTAGCCCATTTTAAATAAGTTTGTAAAAATCAAATTCTTCTTAATATAACTTTGTGTAAGCTGTTGAAACTTGTTAAAATCTATAGTTTTCCATCCAAAACATATCAATTTAAAAAATATTAGGGGTTTTCAAATGTTTTCAAACATCAAAATTACATTTTAAAATAATTGTGTTTAAGGTATCAAAAGTAATTGAAATTGGGTTAAATTGCATCAATTTCAACTGTATTTTCAATGACTTCATAAGTTTTTAAAAAACAAATTTTTTTTAATGTAACCTTGTGTAAGTTGTCGAAACTTGTTAAAATCAATTGTTTTCTATTGTATCTGAATGAAAAAAAATTGATTTTCAATAATTTTAGGGGTTTTTGAATGTTTTCAAACACTAAATAACTTTTTAAATTAATATTGTTTAAGTTATGAAAAAGTGTAGTGGTTTGCATAAAATGGCTTCTTCAGCAAAGTACATTTTCCATGTATTCATAAGTTTTTGAAAACCAATTTTTTTTTAATATAACTTTGTGTAAGCTATTGAAACTTGTTAGAATAAAAAACAAATCGATTTTCAATAATTCTAAGGGTTTTTGAATGTTTTCAAACACCAAATTACATCTTAAAATAACGGTTTTTAAGGTATCAAAAGCAATTGAAATTGGCATATTTTGTGTCAATTTCAACTCTATTTTCAATGATTTCATAAGTTTGTAAAAACCAAATTTTTTTAATTTAAGCTGTTGACACTAGTTAAAACTGAAAATATATCAATTTTCAAAGATTTAGAAAAAACAGAAAATTATAAGTCAATGATATTGAAAACAGGGACAGGCAAAGTATGGCCTACAAGACTGGTGATTTTATAAAGCAAAACAGGCATTACATTTTCAATATCAACTAAAAATTTAATTTTTTTTTCTTGTTATATGTCACACAAAACAGTATTCTATTCACAACAAGAACAAAAAAAATAATGATTAAAATCATATATATTTAATATAAAATCATAATATTTAATAGCAAACACCAGTACTTAGGAAAATCACTTCCTACAAACTCAACATAGCATGTTACATACAACTATAAGCACCTGGATCGCTACATCCAGTGACATGTCGAGGTTTAGTGATGTTTAGTGATACCCAAGGCCAACTACTTGATTGAGTGCCCCTAAGAAGTAGCAGAGGCCTATAGGGTCTAGTACTGAGAAATGTGAGAAAGGGAGACATTTTAAATATATAAAAACAGATGAAACATGAAATAAGTACTTTATTCAAATTAAATATAAACTAAATTTTTATTTTACTCTGTGATTGGATGCTTCCTGATATGTATACCCAGGGCCATCACATCATCTTCTCCACCATTTCTGCACACTATAGATTATATCCCACACTGTGTTGATGTCAATGCTCAATCATAGGTACAGTGTAAACTGACATATGGATTTAAATGTCTGTACTGATTGCAGATAAACATATATCATTTCTACATGCTTCACTATAAACATGCCCTGAGAGTTATCAAGAACTAGCAGTAGAGCCCGGCATTGCCCGGGGATGTAACAGTAAGAGATAGATCAAGTATCGACCATCATAAAGACTGAAAAGTAAAATTGACGAAGATTATTGTTTAAGGTTGACGGACATGCATGTCTTAATTAGTTTTTTTTTTGTTTTGTTTTGTTTTTTTTTACGAATTGGTCAAACTCAAAACAAAAACATTGTTTTCAATCGTTATGTGTCTATCGATTGATTAGAATTTTATTATAAACATTGTCTTGTAAATGGAATTTTTAGAGCATTCTGAATGTAAAAATAAAGAAAAAAGTGTGCAAGACAATAAGAAACACTACCTGCCAAAAAAAAGTGAAGTGTTGTTGAAATTGGTTGAAAAATGTAGGAAATCCGATCCCATATATAAACGAACACACACACACACAATCAACCTGGGTTTTATAATAAGTATAACTCGATATGAGTTGTCCCCCTACATTTTTCAACCAATTTCAACAAAACTTCACAGGACTGCATAAAATTACCTTGCGGTGGTTCTGACAGTGCCAAAAATTGGAAAAACACAATTGTTTTTGCACAATTAAGAGGCATCACGAGAATGAAAGGGGGACAACTCATATCGAGTTATACTTATTATAAAACCCAGGTTGGTTGTGTGTGTGTGTGTGTGTGTGTGTGTGTGTGTGTGTGTGTGTGTGTGTGTGTGTGTGTGTTCGTTTATATATGGGATCGGATTTCCTACATTTTTCAACCGATTTCAACAAAACTTCACCTTTTTTTTGACATGTAGTGTTTCTTATTGTCTTGCACACTTTTTTCTTTATTTTTACATTCAGAATGCTTTAAAAATTGTTTATAATAAAATTCTATTCAATCAGTAGACTCATAATGATTGAAAACAATGTTTTTGTTTGAGTTTGGGTTTGACCAATTCGTAAAAAAAAAATAACAAAACAAAAAAATTAAAACTAATTAAGACATGCATGTCCATCAACCTTAAACAATAATCTTTGTCAATTTTATTTTTCAGCATTGATGATGGTCGATACTTGATCTATCTCTTACTGTTACATCCCGGGGCAACGCCGGGCTCTACTGCTAGTATACAAATAAATGTACAAATAACAGGCATAGGTATGGCTATTATTAATATTGTCGCTGTGAGATTCATGCTGGGGTCCCACATATATGTCCCTGCTCACTGTACTAAAACATTTCTGTGATATTTTTCAGGCATATTTATTATGGACTGAGGAGCATGGAGAAGAAAAACCTCTTCCTGGAATTGATCTAACTCCAGCTCAACTCTTCTATGTCAGCTTTGCCCAGGTAAAGAATTCTTTATTTAATAAAACAATATAGAATGATATTAAATAAATATTTAATTTATAATTAGAAATAATTTTATTATGATTCTATAAAAAAACAATAACTATATTGGTTTAAAAAGCAATAAAAAAAAATTTTAAATTAGAAATATTAAAAATATTAAAAATAATAAATAAAAAATAAGATAATAAAAAATATATAATATATAATAAATAAAAATAAAATAATAAAAATTTTTTTTTTGTATAAAAAACAATAATTTAAAATTGTAAATATAAATATTTAATAAAACAATATAGGATGATATTAAATAAATATTTAATTTATAATTATAAATAATTATATTATGATTCTACAAAAAACAATAACTATATTGGTTTAAAAAAACAATAAAAAAATTAAAAATTAAAAAATTAAAAATTAAAAAATTTAAAATTAAAAATATTTAAAAAGTAAAAATAATAAATAAAAAATAAAAATGAAATAATAAAAAATAATTTTTGTATAAAAACAATAATTTATAATTATAAATGTACATATTTAATAAAACAATAAAGGATGATATTAAATAAATATTTAATTTATAATTATAAATAATTATATTATAATTCTATAAAAAAACAAGAACTATATTGAAAGAAACATGACTCCTCCTGTACAATTAGAAAATTAAAAATTAAAAATATTAAAAAATGAAAAATAATAAATAAAAATAATTTTTTGTATAAAAAACAATAATTTATAATTATAAATGTACATATTTAATAAAACAATAAAGGATGATATTAAATAAATATTTAATTTATAATTATAAATAATTATATTATAATTCTATAAAAAAAAAGAACTATATTGAAAGAAACATGACTCCTCCTGTACAATTAGAAAATTAAAAATTAAAAATATTAAAAAATGAAAAATAATAAATAAAAAATAAAAAATAATTTTTGTATAAAAAACAATAATTTATAATTATAAATATTTAATAAAACAATATAAGACGATCAAGAACGATTGCATTAGATATTTCCAAGGTCTTTGACAAGGTGCAGTATAAAGGGTAGTTGTTAACAGCCAGTCGTCCATGACCGCTAGCAAATAACGCAGACATACACTGGTTGGTTACATTCAATGCCTCAAAAACCAAACTAGTTACATTCCATCATCACCGATTGGACCCTGAACTATCATAATGAATGGATGTTCCTTCAGAGAGGCCTTGAGTGCCTATTTGGACTTATAAACACAACCCAAACCTCAAATGGAGCTCATACATATGATCTATTGCTAAAGATGATGGAAAAATGGTCAGTTTCCTGTACTGCTTCTATAAGTACCTGACTCCTCCTTCTATCCTTTACCTTTACAAGAGCCAGATCAGTACTGTGGCCATAATTTATTCATAACTTTTTCATAATTTATAGCCAATCTAACAAAAGTGGGTAAAAAAATAGGACATCAAAATTAATTTTCTGTTTTTCTTCATAATTGAAAATCTTGAAAAAATATATTTGTAATTTTCTTTTTACAAAAAACGTGTCTTTTTTCTTTGCACTTATAAATTTGTCAGTCATTTTTTAAAAATATATTTTTCCTTTGTACTTTTAAATTTGTCAGTCATTTTTTTAAATATATTTTTCCTTTGCACTTATAAATTTGTCAGTCATTTTTTTAAAAATATATTTTTCTTTTGTACTTTTAAATTTGTCAGTCATTTTTTTTTAAATATATTTTTCCTTTGTACTTTTAAATTTGTCAGTCATTTTTTTAAAAATATATTTTTCATTTGTACTTATAAATTTGTCAGTCATTTTTTTAAAAATATATTTTTCCTTTGTACTTTTAAATTTGTCAGTCATTTTTTTTTAAATATATTTTTCCTTTGTACTTTTAAATTTGTCAGTCATTTTTTTAAAAATATATTTTTCCTTTGCACTTATAAATTTGTCAGTCATTTTTTTTTTTTTCATTTCTAAATTTAGATGTACTGTTCAGGATGGACCAAAGAAGGAATATGGCACCATATTCTTACGGACCATTTTGCTCCTGGAAAAGCCAGGTTAGAATTCAGTCTTCAATTCTCATTAAAATTTATGTTTTAATGAAAAAAAATTTTCCAAATAAAAAAAAAATTCCCCCAGATTCCTACCATGTATCCAATTCAATTATTTTTGCTCATTAAATTTTAAAAACAGATTTGAAAATATTTTTAACATTTTTTAATGTTCTTTTGCCCATTAATTTTTTAAAGGATATTATTTATGTGCATTAAACATTTGGATTTTATTTCATGTATTCTTTGTTTATGGCTTGCATGTTCTTATTGATAATATCTTTTTCTGAATGTCATCACATGTCGGTCTCAGAATATTTGTAGTGTACTTTTAGAATTAAAATTCACTAATGAGATTGCCACCTGTTTATTTTACCAAATTTATTCAAAATTTCAGTTTTGCAATATTTTTTTAAACATAAACAAGAAAACGTTCTTGTCTGTGAAATAGTAAAATACATAAAAAAGAATAACTGAATTTGAAAACAATTATGGTTTAAAGTCTGTCTATATTTCTGAGATGAGGTATTATGTACAGTATTTACATTAGTCGGACACATGGCACAGTGGATAAAGGCATTGGTTAGATCCAGTGACAGACCCAAAGAGTGTAAGTTCAATATCCGGTTAAGGCAGTGGAGAACTTTCAGAGGGAAAATTAGCAGGAGATAACTGATAACTGACATCCATCAAACATGGCACGTGGAACTAGAACAGTCTACTCCAGTGATCAAAATAAAGGGTTCAGTTCAAAATTCCAACCACCTGAAGAAGGCCGGAGCGTACAACGGCCGAAACGTTGTGACAAATATGGCGACAAAGATTAGGACAATAGTCCGACTATTGTGAATACTGTAATTATGGTTTATTTTTCAAGATTTTTTTTTATGTCTTTTTATGAGAATTTTTCAAAAATTAAGTTTTCCATTCATTTTGTTTAATTTCAGGGTCATTGGTGCCGTCTCAAATTCTAGAGCCTTCTCTTCAGTCTTTGACTGTCCATTCACATCTGAAATGAATCCCTCAACAAAATGTGAAGTCTGGTGA